CCCCCCGCTCCAGCAGGCCGCAGAGAATGGGGGTGAGAGAAGACTCCAAACCTCCCTCCACCCGCTCATTGTAGTGTTGATGCATGTGTGTTCTAAGGTGCATTTAAAACCCAGGAGGGCAAAAAGCTTCAAGCTGCAATGGGGTGGATTGGAGATGAGGATTTTTGGGCACAAAGGCCCCCAGCACTAGGGGGCCTTTGTCCCATGTGGGGACAAGAGATTTAGACACTGGGTGGAGCCGTTGTTCCCCTTTCATAAAACGGTAGACTAGTTGGTGATGGCTCACTGGGCCATCCACGAAGCCCACATGACAGGCTGAAATGGCAGCTAGATATACTTTAATTGTGGAAAAGTATCTAACAATTCCTGGAGAAAGGAGAGAATTGTTGTCACAGAGCACTGAAAGGAGAGAGTGTGAGACTTTCCACACCACTCCTCAAATACCCTCCACTTGTTCTCATACAATGATCTTGTGGAGGGGCCTCTAGCACTGTGAATAGTGGTTATAACACCCGGGGGGAGTCCTGCCATCCTCAGATTCAACCTCTCACAGGCCAAGCCACAGAGCGAGGTGCTCGGGGTGAGGGTGAAAACTCTCCCCCCTGGCTTGGGAGACTAGGACTCGTCGGAGATGGAGAGGAAAGAGTTTGCTCCACAAAAGGGGCATAATCTCCGCTAACCAATGGGACCTCGTCCACCTTGGGGCAATCAATATCATTGTTAGCCCTCTCTCTTTCACTCTGGTTAGAGTGTGAGAAATTAAAGAAAGTGTCTCAGTGCTAGAAACGCTGCTATCAATTCTAACCAGTTTATGTGAGCAGCCCTCTGTCGTGAGTCCCAGTTGTCGCTCACTTTTTACTCTGTCCACAGAGAGACACACTCTGTACAAGGAGTTTAGAGCTATTCTTATGAAAGAGATGGCCTGAGCTGGCTGCGGGACACTCTTTTCATAGTTTATGGTGAAACCCAGAGCCATCAGGTGATCCACTGTCAACCTGGTACGCTCTCTTCCCATTATGGGAGACCAAATGGCACAACCTGGTACTCATACATTCTGCCCTGAAACGCAAATCTCAGGAATTTTCTGTGAGGCGGGTAAATAGGGATGTGAAAATATTCGTCCTTCAGGTTTATTGATGTAAACCAATCGCCTGGGCGCACTACATGCGGCAGAGTGGTGGTTGTCAACATCCTGAATTTGTATGACCTCAGATGCTGATAGGTCCAGTATCGGATGTAGTCCCCCTCCATTCTTGGGCACGAGAAAATGCTTTGAGTAAAAGCTGCATTACCTCTGGTCCTCGGGTATTTCTTGTACTGCACCCTTTGATAGCAAGGTAGTTATTTCTTCTTGCAGAATCCTGGCTGATTCGCCTTTTGCAAGAGAGAAAATCACTCTGTGAAATCTGGGAGGGGTGGTTGCGAATTACAAATGGTAGCCTCGCTCTAATGTCCTCACAACCCACTCTGGCACAGCAAGAGCTCGCCATCTCTCTATTCTTGCTGACAGGGGCCCCAAAGTCAGGCACTCCAAAGTACATGGGACTTTGGCTCCCTCTTGTGGCAGAAACTGGTCCTGCAGCCCAGACCCGAATGTGCATGCACAGGTGGCCCGTGCTTGACCAGCGTTCATGGGACCGGACACCACTGAGGAAATCGACCCTGGTGGTGCCTGGGGGTGTGAAGGCATTATGTTTTTCAACATATTTTCTGTGTTTTTCACACATTTTTCCTGTGCCCTTGGCAACATGCCTGGATGCAGGGGGTGAGTTTTTAATAAACAGTGTGTTTTTGTGAGACTGTGACACGCTTGACTCAGCTAAACAGTGTCTCGTCTCTTTGTTGGAATGTGCTCTGCGGGATCCAAATCGAGTCCCAGGCGCTGGAAGACAGAGGCAGAACACACTTCTCCATACTGAGTCCTGAAGTGAACTTGGAGCCCGGGCTGGTCCGACTCCGATCTCCCTGTGGGGAGATGTTAGGCAGTTTGCTTCTTCTTGTGGTCTGACTGCTTGGCTGGTGGTGGGGCACCCTGAGCGGCACCAGGTGGGACGTGTTTCCTAGGCCAGTAGGTCTTAGGGTTCTGCGATCCTAGGGGACACTGGGCCGCAACCTGTGGAGCTGGGCGGCAAGGGATTTTAAATGTCAGCACGCCGGCTGGACAGCTGGTGACCTGAGCGATCGTAGACGGAGGCGCAGCCTGGGTCTTCCTAGGGAGACACAGCTGCGGGGCCCTTCCCTCTTTCTTTTTTTCCTCGCACAATCTTTGCATGGTAGCAACGGTGGTCCCTAAAAAGCCCAGTGGGGTTGATGCTTTCATCCAGAATGTCACGTTTTTCTCTGTCCGAAAGTCCCAACAAGTTCAGCTATCTTGAGAGCTGAGCGCTCTGCCCGCCGCTTGTACTGCTGCTCTAGTAAGGTGGAGACACTGGTCCGTAACGACGCCCAGCTCTTCCCACAGCTTGCTACCATCGGGGTTCACAACAGTCTGGTCCTGGAGCTCTGCAGAGTAGGCTAGCAGGAGTGATGAGGTGTTCAATGCCCTCACAGTGGTGGCAACTGATTTATACACCTTGTCAACCAGGGAGGATTGCAGAAGTTCGGTGGAGATGAGAAGCCACCAGATTCTCCACTATGGGAATTTGGTAGATGCCCTTCTCCTTCGTTCCAGCGCAGTCAAATGCCACTACTCCCTGCACGGGGTTGGGTGACAAAAATGGCTTTGCCCAGCAGCGTATGACCTTGTGTATGCATTCGGGGATAAGTGGCAGTACCTGCTTAGTAGTGCGCTTTGCTTTAGGGAGCCTTTTAACCTTGTACCTTGAGGTGGAGGTCTCCGTTGTCACTGTGGGCCATGGGACTGCCAACTTTTCAGCTGCCTGTTTTGCAAATAGCTCCATACCTGTGTGACTGTGTGCCGGGGTTATCACAATCAGACCTTGTGTCGCAGTATTCTGACCAGAAGGGGCAAAGAAAACGTTGTCATCCTCGTCTGAACAAGATGTTCCGATGCTCCCTCAGAGGATTCTATGAGTAGCTTGTCATTATCCTTCAGGGAATCAGACAGCATAGCTTCACAGCTGACCTTGGCACTGTCCACCAGCGGGAGGATGATATCCATCTCGTTGCCCCAGCTGGTACCTGGTGTGGCTGACTCAGTGTGCTCCATCGGTGCGCCAATTGGAGACAGCATTGGGTCCTTCTTCGATAGGCTAGCCTGGTGGGCTAACCTTCGACAAAGGCAAGCGCAGAGTTTGCCTGAACCCAGTGTGGGTGCTTTGCAGCCCGAGGCACATCACACAAGCCTCATGTGTATCTGAACCTGAGATTGCGCATCTGCAGGGACAAATTCTGGGCAGCGGTTTACAGTCTGCCATATTAAGGAAGCTTGGTGTAGCTTGGAATGGCTGGACAGCTAACGCTGATCTTTTTTTTTTTTTTTTTTTAAATCGGTCGGGTAGCTATGGTGAGCTAGTAGCCAGTGTGGTGGCTAGCTCTTGTGGTACTTGGCTTGGTGACCATGTGTAGCAAGGAGAGTTAGCTTGGTCAGCTAACTGTTGTGCTAGGTGTGTGGTGGCAGCTAACACACTCTCCAATCTGGCTCTGTAGTGAAGAACAGGCAACCGGAAAAGCGAGCCGTACTAGCACCTGATGACTAAGGTGTTAGCTTGCTCGAGTGGAAAGTTGAGCAGGCACTAACGCTGACAGTCAGGAGAAATGAGGTTTCTAAGAAGCGAGAAGAGGAAATTGAATGACGGGTGACGCTGCGTCACACCCTTTTATAGGGAGGAGGGTGGCACCTCCCTGGCGCAAGCGTCACAACTGCCAGCCAATGCTGGCTGGAGTAATGCCATAGAGGCTTCTGAGGACAACGCTGAGAGAGTTTTCCCCATAATGAGAAACCGAAACGAATGTTTGAAAGAGAACTTCCACAGAGTGGCCGTAAATGCAGTGCTGTGAAAAAATGTCAGCCACCTTCCTGAGATCTTATTTTTTTGGATTTTTGTCACACTTACATGTTTCAGATCATCAAAAAAATGTAATGTTAGACAAAGAAAAAAAGGGCATTTTGAATAAATACAAAATAGTTTTTAATTGATGATTTCATTAGATTGAAATCCACAGCGATGTGAAAGACTCATTGTGAAAGAAAGACTTCTCGCAAATGCTTGATTGCAGTTCTTGTTGTCGAGGGTGACGCAACCAGTTTTTAGCTTTACTTTTTCACATAGCGCCATGTATGTTTGGATAGCTTTTGTCTCTTAATAAATAAAATCATCACTTTACTCGAGTTATCTTTGTCTATCATTATAATTTGTTTCACAGTATGAAACATGTAAGTGTGTAAAATATGTTTTTAAAGAAAAAAAAACCCTTTTTCACAGCACTTTAAAGGTGTAGTGGGCCAACATCCCTCCTGAGATGGGTGGAAGCCTGGTGACCAACAAACAAACGTCTTACCATTGTGCTTGGCAACAAGGATTTCTCCACCAAGCCCTAAGTCATATTTTGCTTGGAGATCAAATACTTATTTTACTCTGTGACATAAAAATCTGTTTACATTTTTTATGTAATTTGTGTTTTTTCATTATTTCTGGCTGATTTTCTGTCTCTCTCCATTAAAATGAAACTACCATAAAACTGAGAGAATGTTCATTTCTTTGTAACTGAGCATACTTACAAATTCAGCAGGGGTCAAATAATTATTTCCCACACTTTATCTGTATTTTAGCATATATATTATTACTCTTTGAACCCACTGGTTTGATTGGATAATCTTAACCAAAGGTCCACTTCGTAACTCTCTTATAACTCAGTCTTATGGTTTCCAGTGGGTTCTGGCCCACTGAATCACTTTGCATTTTTGAGACATGTGCTGTAGCCACTGTAGTTTACTGTAATGGTAATAAAAGGACCTCAGGTGAGACTTTTCCTGTAAAAACTGCTTCCAGAGTCAAGAGGAGTTCCCCCCCCCTAACTTTCAGGGCAGAAATCTCTACCTGCCACTCCAATTTGGTGAGTTGCAAAACCTGGAAGTCTGCTCTCCCCCTCTCCCAGCCAAAGAGCCAGCATGGCGTAGTCGTTTCTGGCATGATGGAAGGTGAAGCCGTGAGCCGAGGCGGCGGCAGCACATCGACTCAGCGAGATGGGTACTCGAAGCCACACTGCTGCCTTCCCCTCTGCTTTCCACTGGGCTAAAGAATCTGCAGAGTTCAGATACAGTTTAATTTTGTATCTCCCATAAACTATAAAGTACATAAAGAAACAGTTAATATGTTGCAGAAGTGACATAATAAAAAGTGAAAAGCTTTTAAAAGGCATTTGCACCTAATTGAATTGTGAAGACAATCTCAAGAGAGAGATGTGAAAAGATAAAGAGAGAATGACAAACAGCAGACACGTTTCTGGTGGAAGTAGCTTTCATGTGAGTAGAGTTTAAAGATGGACAACTGAAAAACAGCTAACTGGATTAAAGCAGCCACAAAAATAGATAAGGGACATTTTTAATTGCTCATTGAGAGTTTTCATTTTACATTTAAGTAAGATAGCGAGTGGTGGCTCAATGAAAGGGGGAGCTGAAAAAAATAAAGAAGAACCACATGAAAACATGTAAACCCCCGAAGATGAACTTTCAGTAATTGCAATGTAATAACAATAGTATCAATGTTTTAAAAGTAATATTGCTTTTGCTCGGAGAAACAACACAGAACATATTTTAAAAAATTTTTATACCCCAGACATGCTCCCTTGGCTTAGATGCTATGAGCAATTTAACATTAAATATTTAGTACCTTATGTACAAACAGTACCGGCCTATTATAGATAACTGTCAGACCACTAGTTAAGACAGGTTGATGATTTAAGAGCTTTTGGGGAAAACAGGATGCGCGCATTGCCTTCCCTCTCCTCCTACACAGCAGCCAGAGTTCAGGGCGACAAACCTTGCAGTAAACCGCTGAATGAGCTCTCGCTGATGTCACCCGGCAGTCCGACCTCAGCCAGGTTCACTGTCACTCCACCGAATCGGTCCACTTTCCCCGTTAAAGCGCTGACCCCGTGGACTTGCTGAAGCTGTGAACAAGTTAAAGTGCAGGAAAAGGCACGGGTAGCTATGCGTACGGGAAGAGACATGTTATTACAAAAGCGGCCTCTCGCCAACGGCAAAAGTCTGGCAACAAAGGTACAGCCAGCCATATTACCGTAACACGATAAGTAACCGAATAAAAGCAGAATATATTCAGCTGACAGCCGGTAAACGAGCTGTCTAGTACAGTTGCGTAAACGTCCGTGCAGGAAATTGCATAAATACCGTAATGAACCACTAAAACAGCCCTGACACGTGAACCAAACTCCTTTCGCATTTCTTTTAGATTACATTAGCTTGGAACGCATGGGTATTGTGTTAAAATTGGCCAAAGAATCTGCCAATTAACCCATGTAATTCTGTAAGTGATCGGCTTTTTTGGCTACAAGCTATTGTTAACTATTGTTAGCTCTTGTTTTGCATTCTCTAACGTGCCATCTGCTGTTCATTAGCTATCAAAAAATCCGTCGCTTCTTGGCTGTTTAGTAGAGCTATGCCGAATTTAAGAATGCATCCAAGCAGTAAGAGCAATAATTTTATTTCTTTCATTTTGTGATTCTACTAGCTTGTAAAATCAAATACGTAAAAGTAAAGAATTTTCCAGCGAAATTTCGCATTGCATTCTCTCGACCTCTACAATCTTATAGAAACGTTTTCTACGAGAGGTTAATATTTTTCAGGTATTATTTTTATTTTTGTAATATGTTATATACATATATATTTTAAATACCACACACAAGTGTTTTAGAATTAAACAAATACAAAATGCTGCTGCCACCTGCCAGGAAGCGCTCGTATATATGTTGATTTACGGTAAATGAAGGCGGGACTAAACGCCAACCAGGAAGTTTACGACACCGCTTGATGTTTACACATGTTTCTGCTTTCACGTGGAGAAGCTTTTTGCAATTATCATGTCTTCAAAGAAAAATAAAAGCAAAACAAAAAAATCGAGTGAAGGAGATAGCTCCTTCTCATTGAAAGAGGGCCTTAATGACTCTTCAAGCCTGCAAACATCTCGCACCGACGGAGGAAGCTGCAAAAGTTTGAACTGCAACTCTTTCACTGTCATCGACTTCATTGAAAAAGGTAAGAAGACGAGACATGAGTCTAAACATTTAACAGGCTGTATTATATAAATCAGGTATAACCCCCATGCAAACGAAGCTACCTGTACTATGAAGATGGAAGTCCCAGCATGGCGCTTGCTGCACTCACAGGACCAGTACTCACTGATGCTGCTGGTCCATTTGTTTTTCTCCAGAGTCGTTTTCTGAGCTTTGTGCCTTTATTCTTTTCATTTGTTTGCAGCATTTGTTTGTGAACTTGTTTCCATTGTTTAGATTTGCATTTGTGGTTCTTTTTTTTCTCTCTTTTTCTTTATATTCACTGGTCATCCATTTCCCAACACCCTCCAGAATAGTCCAGCTGCTTTAACAAATCTAATAAAAACATAGTTCTTACTTAACCTCTTATCCCAATTCCTGCATTTTTCTAATCACGTACCTCGTTTCGTCTCTTCCTTCTTTCTGCGTGAGGTAAGAGTGTGCTGAAATTTCTATGCTGCTGGGAAGTTTATTCCAGTCAGCGGGAAAGGAGGCTCCAGCAAATCGCTGAACCTCGAATTCAGGAAGAGCAATGTCTTGACCAGCACTCTGAGTGCACTTTCTAGACTTAGAGAAGGCTTATGTACATTAGGTGCCTAGAGGCACCTGATGTACTGCAGGAGGATGGGGTCCAAGACCTTTTGTTATGGGCAATTGGGTCCTTCTGTAACCAAAATTAGAGGCGTGTCCTTATCCTTGACACAAACTCAAGCACATTTTCAGTGGGTGTGACTCTGCCTGGTTTGCCACGTGTCTCCAATCCTGTTTTCATGGACAGGAATTTAAGGCATGGCTAGGCTGAGGAGGGCATCCACTTTGGGAAACTCAGAACAGCACTTCTGTTTTTAGCAGATGATGTGGTTCTGTTGGTTCTTTGGGGCATGACCTCCAGTATGCACTGTTTTTCTGAACGTTTCTCCCACTGAAAACGCTACGCCCAGATAAACAGAGTCAACTTTTTGTGGTATAGCTGCTAAAACTTTTTCACAGAAACCCTGGTAGCTTGGAACTTGTTCTTAAGTCTAACACACTATAATTATTACTGGGCTCTTTCTATTTTGAAGATTTGATAAAGCTTATAATGAGCGCTGTATTTGATGACTCATAACAATCCCTTAGTTATACTATAGACTCAGTCTACTGTAGGACCGATGCACTGAGAACTCCTCCACTCCCATCTATCTCTCACTTTTTCCCCCTTTATGTGTTTTTATGGCACTGTTTTATGCCATTTACTTTTATTTTTGTTTGTTGACTGTGCCTATAATCTTCTGTTTTGTCATGTCTTTCTTCTCATCTCCCAATCGATCATGGCAGATGGTTGCCTCCTTCAGAGTTTATATTATAATACAGAGCACCTCGTGCTTTGTGCTACTAACACATTTTTATTCTCTAATCAACGTGTCAGATGGGCTTGTAGGCTTATATCAGTTCAACTCCTCATATCTGTGTTACATAACAAAATACTTTTGCCAGCATTGATTACGTAGAGAAACAAAACTTTACACATCTGCTTTGATCCCTGCAGTCATTGCACTGCTAAATGCAGGTAGCACCAGACAGTGCACTTTATGCATGCATTGTGCTTTTTGAGTGAGTGGGTGGGTTTACAGATGTAGGAGAAACTTGCCATGATCTTATCTCTCTTTTTTTTTTTTTTAGTTCTCTGTTTTTCATTTATTTGTTGACATGTTTTTGAATCTAAACTAAAACACTGTTGTAACATCTGGTTTTTACTCTGAATCTTTCATCTGCACAAAAAATTAAGCCATGAAAAAAACCTTAAGCTTGGCTATTAGCGAGGAGAAACAACCTGGAAAGTACAAATCTGTCTTTTAGAGCTGAAAGTCATCATGAAATTATGAAAACACTGTTACCAAAAATCCCTACCAGTAACAAACTAGTGCATCGTCAAATCAGGTAAACAGTGTTTCAGGTCAAACCCACTTTAATACAGTGTCAGCACCACACAGCAATCAAATGCTTTTTATTTAGTTACATTTCACTGAGGTAATCTAGTTCATGTATGAAATTTGGGAAAGTGGTTTGTCTTGTTTAGGCTCATGAAAAAATGTCCTGCTGAACACAAAAAGAAGTTTAGTACATTCAAGTTATGTAAGAACCATGAGGTGAAACGTAATGCTATTATTTTTTGCTTTGGGAACATATGCAGCATTTCCATCATTTCTAAAAGCTTTTCTTGAATTATTATTTTTTATTTTTTATTTTTATTTAATTTGCTTCACAGCTGATGACAAAACACCCAAAAGCTGCAGATCAACTTTAGCCCAACTCAGCCTCAACTCAATGAAATCAGCCAGCGCATGCATCGGGAGGCCCGTGCTGCTGACGAGTACCACAGGACAACAGGAGGTTCTTCTCTTCTCTTCTCTTCTCTTCTCTTCTCTTCTCTTCTCTTCTCTTCTCTTCTCTTCTCTTCTCTTCTCTTCTCTTCTCTTCTCTTCTCCTCTCCTCTCCTCTCCTCTCCTCTCCTCTCCTCTCATACCCTTTGTGATACTTTCAGGTATGCTTGGCCTGGCCAGTTGCCTCCTTTCCAGGTGGAAAAGTTGGCCTGCAGAAGTGTGCTCAGAACAACCTGAGAGTAAAGACAGGGGATGAGTTGATGCTTCACCCAATAACAGGTCCCTTGCTTCAGGCTGAAGAGGTGGTTCTCTCTAACAGGTAAGGTTTACCTTGCTTTTATTTAAAAAAAAAAAGAAAGGAAAAAGTCTGTATACATATATTTATCATTCCAGTTTGCTCTATACTCAAAATTTTGCTAAACTACAGTAACTGTACACACAGCTGCCAGTTTAAGTTCATCCAGCAACATAAATCCAGTCTAATGAGTCCTACAATATATTGTACATTAATGAAAGTTATGTTTATTTTTGTTGTTGTTCTTTTAATTCTATTGTGGTGA